GAGTGACTGAAGTATGCTTGGTTGTTTTAAGCTCACAACAAACCTACTTCTTTTGTAGATGTAGAGCCTACTTTGTTTACAGGAAACCAAAGTGCCCGCAGCTATAACTTTGCCTGGTGACTATTTAGTCTTTATTTTTAAAAGATTTTCATTTAGTAAAGCAGACAGTTGCTGTGTTGGCAGAGTATGAATTTCATTTCCTGTCTGTGGTGTACCCCACTCATCCTGTCACTCAGACATTTTGTTTTAGGTTGTTCCCGTAATATGAGTGAAACAGTGACCCATAGCATGGTAACATGTGCATACCAAGAATGTAACAAGAGACAAGACTTGTGCAATAAACCACAAGAGCACAGTGCTTTATTTAAAGATGAAAACAAAGCAAAATAAAGGCAGCCCCTCCCACCCAGCATGCAAATTTTAAAGTCAGCCCCTCCCACCCAGCGTGCAAACATAAGTGGACTCATGTTTGTTTTTTAGAAGACATGTTCCAGTCTATTTGGCAAGTTATCTCAAAGGTTTATCAGCTTCATGCCACTTGATTAAAGGATGAAATTCAGTCAACAACTAAAATTTTATAGGGTGATTTAATTTCATTTGCCAATTAATTTATTATCAAACACTTGTATTTTATAGTTTATTAATCTGCTATATATATTTAGTTCTATACCAATTATTATTTTAAATTTATCTTTATTGTTGAAAGTATTACAGATGTCCCCCTTTTCTACCCCATTGACTCCCTCTACCCCACTCCCACCCAGGCCTTCATCGCACTGTAGTCTGTGTACATGGGTTATGCATATACTAGTATGCATATAAGTTGTTTGGTTAATCTCTTCCCACCCTCCCCGCCCCCCTTCCCCCCTTCCCCCTGAAGTACGCCAGTCTGTTGCATGCTTCAGTGTCTTTGGATCTATTTTGTTTGTCAGTTTATTTTGTTCATTAGATGCACATATAAGTGAGATCATGTGATACTTGTCTTTAAGTGATTTATTTCACTTAGCATAATACTCTCCAGGTCTCTCCATGCTATCTTAGAGGGTAAGAGATCCTTCTTTTTTACAGCTGCATAGTATTCCCATTGTGTAAATGTGCCACAGGTTTTTTATCCATTCATCTATTGATAAGCATTTGAGCTGTTTCCCCATCTTAGCTACTATAAATAACACTGCTGTGAACATAGGGATGTATATATTCTTTCTGTTTGGTGTTTCAGGCTTCTTAGGATATATTCCTAGAAGTGAGCTCACTGGGTCAAATGGCACTTCCATTTTTAATTTTTTGAGGAAACTCCGCACTGTTTTCAATAATGGCTGCACCAGTCTGCATTCCCACCAGCAATGTACTAGGGTTCCTTTTTCTCCACATCCTCATCCTGTTGATTTATTGATAGTAGCCATTCTGGCAGGTGTGAGGTGGTACCACATTGTCGTTTTAATTTTGCATCTCTCTGATAATTAGTGACACTGAGCATTTTTCATATATCTCTTGGCCATTTGTATGTCCTGTTTGGAGAAGTGTCTATTCAGGTCCTCTGCCCATTTTTTAATTGGGTTGTTTGTCTTCCTTTTGTTGAGTTGTATGAGTACTTTATATATTTTGGAAATTAACTCATCAGATGTATCATAGGCAAATATGTTCTCCCATATAGTGGGTTCCCTTGTCATTTTGATGCTGGTTTCTTTTGCTGTGCAGAAGCCTTTTCTTTTGACGTAGTCCCGTTTGTTTATTTTTTATTTTGTTTCTCTTACTCTAGGCGATATATCAATGCAAATTCTGCTACATGAGATGTCTGAGATTTTGCTGCTTATGGTTTCTTTTATGATTTTTATGATTTCACAACTTACATTTAAGTCTTTTATCCATTTTGAGTTTATTCTTATGTATGGTGTAAGTTGGTGGACTAGTTTCATTTTTTTGCATGTACTTGTCCTATTTTCCCAACACCATTTTTTGAAGAGACTATCTTTACTCCATTGTATGCTCTTGCCTCCATTGTCAAATATTAATCTAGCATAATGGCTTGAGTCAATTTCTGGTTTCTCTGTTCTGTTCCATTGATCTATATGCCTGTTCTTGTGCCTTTACCAGGCTGTTAATTAATAGTGGCTTTGTAATATAACTTGATACCCGCTATTGTGATCCTACCAACTTCGTTCTTCTTTCTCAAGATTGCTAACGTCTTTTTTGGTTCCATGTGAATTTTTGGAGTATTTGTTCTAGATCTGTGAAATATGCCATTGTGGTTTTTTTTAATATACTTTTATTGATTTCAGAGAGAAAGGGAGAGGGAGAAAGAGATAGAATCATCAATGATGAGAGAGAATCAGTGATTGACTACCTCCTGCGTTGTCCCCTACTGGGGATCAAGCCCCCAACCCGGGCATTGATGTTTCTCTCTCTCTCCCTCCCCCTACCTTCCTCTCTGAAATCAATTAAAAAAATTTTTTTAATGGGTGTTGGATTTTGTTGAATGCTTTTTCTGCATCTATTGATATGATCATGTGATTTGTCTTACAATTTGTTTATTTGGGCTCATGTGAGATTACAGAATTTCTATTTTTGTTTTAAATTACAATTCCTGCTGCAGTGATGTAACAGACGTAACAGTGTGGGGGGAAAAACGTGGAATTAATGAATTCATCCATCAAATACTGAGCACCTAATATGTGCTTGGCACTATTTCCAGTGTTGCAGACCAAAATAAAATCCTTGCTCTTCATGGAGCTTATATTCCGTTATAGGGAGATAACTGCAATCAAGTATACAAGTGAACAAATATAATTTTAGTCCATGATAAATATTCTGAAGGAAACAAAACAGAAACAGGGTAGAGTATGATTGAGATTGGGGGGGGGGCGGGGGAGGAGATGATGATACTGGAGCTATGACTTAGTGACAGGCCAGTAAAAATGTGTCTCAAGTAGAAAACAAAAAGCACAAAGGCCCTGAGAAGGAGGCTGAAATATAGAAGCAGCAGAAGGCAGTGCAACTAGATCATAGTAAACAAAAGGGGAGATGGAACAAGATCAGAGAAGTAACTTACCGGATGTTATAGAGCCTTGAAGTGCAAGCTAAAGACTTTTGCTTTTATTTTAAGTACAAAGGGAAGTCATTGGAGGGTGTTGAGCAAGGACATGATATTTTGTTATATATACTATATATATATATATATATATATATATATATATATATATATA